AAGAAACTGTGCTTGTTATGGTATTTATACACTTTGAATTATCGTTTGTGTCTCGGGTTTAGTGATCGTGAGAAACTATTGCTAACCTGGCGAGAGTTTCGCCAGAAAAACTGCCTTTTTATTATTGTTGTAGGAACTGATTATGTATTGTGTAAATTGAAAGTTTACCTCGTGATTTAAGAGGTTTGCAGTGCTCTCTTCGGGATTTAAACATCGTGGTGGTGTCGGCGCAATGCTGCTCTGAGACGCTTGCCAGACTCTGCCTCGTTCAAAATCATTATCGCCATGCTTGATTTCCGCAACATTTATTTACATTATGATTTCCACAGCTATTGTTCTATGAGATGCGTACGTTTATTTATTTTTCTAAATCGGGTCGATTACAAAAAAATCATGCCTTTTTTCCCCATGAAAAACTAAGCCAAAAGATCGCACTAAAACATTGGTAAATCTCTTCCGTGTTGCTTTCACCATGAGGTCGCTGAACTGTCATTAACATATTTAAATGTTTATGGTAATTTGAGCACATGGGCTTCATCCAGCATTTTGATTGGTTGATTAGCGACTTGACCTATCTGGTCAATAAACACGCCTCTTGTGCATGGATAACATGGCAGATATCGTATGCCATCGAGCGTTTACATGTAACCGAAATCATTTGCTTACAATAAAACTAAGTTGAATTTTACTTGCATTTCATAACGATTTATTTTTTGTACGTTAATATAGTCACCACTAATCAACAATTGCAACACTTCGAAAACAAGTAAGCTACCGTACCGTGATCATTTGCTACTAACAAAAAAATAATGCATATTAAATATAGTGAATATTTTTTGTTGTCATGTTAACAGTTTTTTTGATTGAGTGTAATTTTCCAACATTTCATGATGCCCATTCTAGAACCAAATTAAGGCCTTTCACTCCTTGACGCCTATTTAAAAGATTATACGGCATCTTGCTTTTCGCCAGCCACGAAGGTCACACTAGTAGATGAACTTGATCGATACTGCCGACCATTCCGTGCATTTTTTATCGACGCACGACGGCACGCAAATCGAGAAAAGTATTGTCCTTGCAATAATTTCGCAATACGTCACCATTGTACAGTGACTGATTTTAATAATAATAATAATATTATAATATTTATTCAACATTAAAACAAACTACAGTGAGTTGTTCTGTGGTCGTATAAAAATAAAATAAACTACATTAAGATACAGTAAAGTTAACCAACTAAACAGAATGATAAATAAAGCTAAATAATATTACAAACACATTTAGAATCACAATAAACTTGTATGATACAGTACAGTACAATACAATACAATACACAGTAGTATTGCTAAGGAGTGGAAAATCACATTCACATTAGAGTCTGTGTCATAACTATGGAAAGAATATTTTTATATTTGGTGGAGCTGCTCATATATCATTTGCATACATTTTTGTATGTATTGTGCAGTTCCCCAGCCAGTTCGATTCGAGTAGTGATTGGTTTGCTATTTCATTTCATCTTGCGGCTTTTCAAACAGTATATTGCTAGACATGCATCAATTGTTGTCCATTTATATTCCTAATGCAATTTCTTTCTGGCTGGTATAAATATATTAAAGTGCCTGTGAAATGGCTGCTATTTTCACGCCTAAAATTATCAATTGATACTTAAATATTATTAATTTT